CAAGGCACTCTTGCTCAGACTGTGTCTTTCCTATCTCACGGAGAGGGAAGCCAGTACATCAGCATTCGAAGCATGGCTCGAGGCGGAGAGGGGTAAACTTAAAGAATCTCCAACCCCTCGCATATGCTCCGTCTTTAAAATTACAGACAGACATCTCTTCCTCTTTACAAAAGTGCTCCGACAACATCTTAATGATGGCACTGATGAATGCTAGGTCTATTGCTAATAAAACTTTCTTAATGAATGACTTTATTCTATCTCGCGGGTTGGACTTTTTATTCGTGACTGAAACATGGCTAAATGTGGATGAAATCGATCCTCTTTTTGAGACGGCTCCTGAATCGTTTAATTTTTTGAGTACTCCCAGGGAAAAGGGCAGGGGTGGAGGGGTAGCTACGATTTTTAAAAAGTGTTTTAAATGTCGAATGTGTTCAGTTGGTTGTTATAGTAGTTTCGAGGTACAGGTGTTTAAGATTGATATGGTAAATCCAGTCCTCTGTGCACTTATTTATAGACCACCTAAATACAGTATGGTTTTTATAAGTGAGTTTTCAGACTTTTTGTCAACTGTGATTTTTAGTACTGACTAGGCATGGGCCGATTACCGATTTCAAGGTATACCGCGTTATGAAAATTTCACGGTTTCAAAACCGCTAATATTTTCCGTTATTCCGTTCCTGCGGTATGCGCTGTTTTTCATGTCTCCTCAAAGACTGAAAGTGTAGGAATCCCTCAGGTTGAGTGCAGTGTAGAGAGTAACACGACCCTCCTCCTCTTGTTGGTGCGAGCGAGCGGTCAGTCACGTGTGTGTAGGATGGCCGAACTTACGCGATCGGCAACCAGCTGCTTTTTGTCTTATTGCAACTCGTCTCTGTTCTGGACTTGCACAAACTGCGTTGCAATGCAATCATTTTCCAAAATGTCATTTATGTGAAAATATGAAGTCTGTAAATGCCCGTTAACACAGGCCAGAGACGTTGAAGACGGACGCACAGAGAAAAATACTGTAGCAGGCAGATCACTCGCTGTTCATGATGCATGAACTATTGGAAGAAAATGCTCAATATTGATTTGGGGGTTTATGTGAATGTGTTTCTGAGGGGAACTGACTGTCTTCAGAAAAGTTTATGTGGTATTTTCTTTTCATCTCATCTCTGTATAGTTCATATTAAAGCAGTGCTTTGTTTACGCTGTATCTGGTGTTCCAGAAGCGCCTCCTGCTGGCATGATATGTACAGTGGGGCAAAAAAGTATTTAGTCAGCCACCAATT